TATAATTTTGAGAGTTAAGAGTATTAAAAAAAAAATTAAATATTAAATACAGAATAGTTTTGTAGTTTTTTTAGTTAAAAAAAATAGTTAAATATATAAATAGTATAAAAGTTTTTAAATTAGTGTATAGATAGTATTATTATACTAAAAAAAATAAGATATTGAAGTTAATTAATTATAGTTTAATTCAATTTTAGATTAGTAACAACCTTTTTTTTGCTAAATTATTTGTATAGTTATATAATAAGCTAGATTTTTTAAAATGAGCTTTTATTTTGTATAAAGTAAATTTAACTATTTTTTGTTATAAGTAAATTATTAATACTATAAATAAAAGTTTAATTTTTTTGTTTAATTTAAATTGCTTAGTTAGTTATAAATTTTTAAAAAGTATGTATTGCTAAAATATTGTCTATGTAAATATAGAAATATGTATTATTTAATAGGATTAAAAGTATATAAATAATTGGTTCAATTTCTAAATAATTAATATTTTGTAAATTTGTTAATTTAGCATAAAATTTAATTTGTATTTAGTTTTTCAAAAACTTACCAATTTATGCTTGAATATTTAAAGATTTGGCATTTTGTATTGAAGTTAGTACTTGGTACCATCAAGCAAAAATTTGATAGTTAAATACTTGTTAATACTTATGTTTAAATTGAAAATCAAATAATTACAAATTAACTAAAGTTAAATATATATTATCAGTTAATATGCAATTATTTGATGTCTGACTTAATTACAAGTATTAACAAGTATTTGACTGTCAAATTTTTGTTTGATTGTGCCAAGCACTAATTGAGATATCTGAATAAAAATATAAGTTATTATAGATATAATTAAAAGAGGTTTTGTAAGTTAGAAATTTGTTTTTATATAGTGTAGTTAAAATTGTAATTCTATAAGTAATGTATTAGGAATATTAATTTGAATAAAGAGTATTAAAGTAAAATGTAGTGCTTGTATTTCAGCTAGATTAAAAACTAGTTAATAAATATTTTAAAAGTAAATAGTTTTATAAATAAAATTTATAATTTGATTAAAAGATACTATACATATAGTAGGAGTAGAGATAAGTATTAAAACATCTGGGATATCTATATATATTGTTTTTTTGAAAATAGAATTGGTTATTGGATTGTGTAATTACTTTTCTAATTGTAATTTCATTAATGACTAATTGTTTTTTAAAATAAAATAATAAAATTTATAAATAAGTTAAATATTTTTATAAAATAAATTTTAGTATAATTTCATAAATTGTATTTTATTATTATCTTAGTTATTATTCAGTTTAGAGAAATAGTGTAGCACAGTAGTTTAATGCTTGATACTTGATGCTAGATGCTTGACACTTAACACTTGATGCTTGATGCTTGATACTTGATGCTTAACACTTGACATTTGATACTTGATACTTGATGCTTGATACTTCTTGGTATTGATTATCTATAAGTATTGATACTTTACTTAACAGATATAAAAACTCTACTTTTTTCTAAGTTAAAAATAAGCAAGAATTTAAACAAGTTTTTATCCCCTCTTTAATAAATAAAATCTAAACCTTTTTACTTAATGAATAACCTCTAGTAAAAGTATATACTATATTATTACTGAACTACTCAGAGATAGATGTAGTTTCTTAACAGACTTAAAAAATTATACTTATCTCTTGGACACTGCTATAAACCTGTAAAGAATCTCTGTAGCCATGTTATTGTAATAGTAGAAATTTTAAGAAGATCTCCCTACTATAACAATATATTATAGAAGAAATTATTTGTAGCAATATTAATTTGTACTATTGTTAAAAATTAGTTTATTGTTAATAGTTAATTGAAGAGATTTGTACCAAAATAGTATAGAACTATAAGAAGTTTTATTAGTTCATAAATAGGCTATAATATATTAGTAAATAACTCTAAATATAATATAGCATTTTTTGATTTTTAGTTCTAGAATTTTTTGCAAGGAAGTATAGAGTTAATTGATTTTTTAATTATATTACTATTGGTATATAATAAGAGTTTATCAAGTATAAAAAGATTAAAAGATAATAAGTTAATAAATAAGTTATTATTAGTATTTGTTAAAAGTCTGAGTAATTTTTTAAATTGTTTAGTAAGCTTGCTTAAGAGTTTTTAAATTATTACTGAGTAAGTAGAGTGTTTTGTAATAAATATTCTAAAAAAGTAAAAGAATAGTATTAAATAAATAGAAGAGTTAGATAAAAAATAGTTTTTTAAACTAAATAAGTTTATTAAAAATTCTTTTAATAGTTGGTTTGTTAGAGCCAGTTCTATTATAAAATATGATTATTTGGTATGATATTTTGGTTTTGAACTTTTTTTCTTGTATAGAAAAGTATATTTAATTATATAAAGTGAAATTATTTAGAAGAAAAAAGTTTAAAAAAATAATATATTTATAAAATCTTGCATATATCTAATGTATTTAGATAGATAGATATAGATATAAATTCTTATACCCCTTTTCTTAATATGTTAGATAGACTTCAAAAATTAAAGTAGTTAGTAAGGCTTTATATAAGAGATAAAAATTTACTTTTTTTTTCAAGTAGATATGTTTTTGATATTGATATTATTTTCTGTAATATAGGAGTAATTGTTTAGAATTTGATAAAAGACTATTAGTATTAAGTATATAAATTTTAATTGTTTAAAAATTTGATATATTGTTATTGTTAAGGTTAGTTGTTGGAGTTGAGAATTTAATAGAAGAATTGTAATAAGCTAAGAATTGTTATAGAAAAATATTAATATAATTTAAAAGAAGTTGATTATAAATATCTAAATAGATATATGTTTTAAATATATATATATTAAGAAATATTTTGTATAGAATTGGAAAAAATTATTTTAGTAAATATTTTAGAAAATATTTAAGAGTTTGGAGAGAGTTGAGTAATAGAAGATTATATTTTTTGAAAAATTTGTTATAGAAAGTATTCTTAAAAGAATGTGATATATTGGTATCTGAGGAGGAGTTTTTGTCTTTTACAAAGTTACCATTTTAGGCTTGGCATTCACAGCTATGCAGGTATCCAAAGTCTGCCACGTATATTGGGCCTAACTCTTATTAACTTGAATCTCTATATAAATATTTATATTTTAAACTGCTTTATATAAATATTTTAATTTCTATAGAAATTACTTATAAAATTTTTGTTTGGTTCCAGGTTTGACTTTTAAAACTTAAATTTTATTATATATAAAAATTTTTGACAAAAAAAAAAAAATCTAGATAGGCCAGTTAGAAAAAAACTTAAATATTATAAAAGCAATTATATAATTATTATTGCAGACAAGTAAGAATGCAATAAATAAATAATAAATAAAAGTGCAAACAACTTAAATACAGTATAACCTGTCAAAACTAATATGTATGGTGGACCAATTTGTATAAGTTTTGAAAGGTTAACAGGTTTGAAGAGTAAAATTACTATATTTAATTAAGAAATGATGGATCAATCTTTATCAGTTTTGACAGTATTGGTTTTAACAGATTATATTGCATTATTCACTCAAGATAAATATATCAGTTAAAGATGATTCTAGCAATAATAATTAAGGGTCTACAAGTGGGCATACTAGGCATATTGGCACCAGGCCAAACACTAGTAACTCATGCTATGCCCATGCCTAAGGCACAAAAGTGCCAGGCTTTATTATGGGTATTGGTACAAACTCCAGGCATTTTTATGAGCATGGGCACAAATTCCAGGTACTTTATAGGCACGGCACAACATTCTAGGCAAAAAGGTGCTAAAAAGGTGCCAGGCACAATTAATTAATAAATATTAAATTTTCATGCCTATTTCCATGCCCATGCCAAGTTTTTGTATCCGTGCCTATGTCTTGCCAAATATTTGTGCCCATGCCCATGTCCATGCCAAATTTTTATGCTCGTGCCCATGCCCATGCCTGTGCCTTCTGTTGGGCATGGGCACGAGCCCAGATTGCAGACACCTAATAATAATCATAGCAATTATAATTTATTATAATGCAAACTGTAATTACATAATAATCAAATTATGATAAAGTTTACTTTATAAAGGGTTTGAATTTTTTTTTATTAAATGAAAATAAATTTAAAAATTGAGAAAAAAAATATATAAACCTATAATCTTAAAAAAAGCTGAATATAATCAAATATAAAAAAATTCCCTTTAGAATTAAATTACATATGTATATATATAGATATATTATATATAATAGGTTATAATAAGTTTAGTTTGATAAAGTCAAGCACAGTACAAAAAAATGCAAATAAATTTCATAGTCACTCACTAGTTATTCAATGTTATTGTTCTTATTTAAAATCTGATAAGAGAAGTTCAATTTCTTCCAAGGCGATACGATCAGGAGGATTATAGATGCAGCATTTTTCTACAATTTTTCTTAATCCACCCGGAGTATCTTTTTCTTTAAGTTCATCAATTAATTCATCAATTTTTTTGGAAAGCTTAGCTTCTTTAATTTCATCACTGTCCAAGCCATCATACGGTCTAAATATAATGAATCATTCAATCCATATAGAACGGTCATGTCAAAAATTTTTAAAAATTTATAGAACTTAGCATACTCTTTTCCATTCGTTAAAATTTCCCATACAACTAATCCATAGCTATAAATGTCTACAAACTGAAAGATTTAGTTTACTAATAAATCAAATATGTTCAAACATCAAAATTTATACCTGAAAGATCTGGCTGATCTTTATAATGTTCCTTCATTTTTGATTCGTCAGAAATGTATTCAGGCGAGGCCCATTGAAATGATCCTGTTATATTAAGAAATATATTTACAAGTTTGCTAAGCAAAAGCAATAAGTTAAGAAAATTATT